ACACGATACTTCTCCGAGCATTCCTCTAAAAATTGGCCAACATCTTTCAAATTTTTGCAAGCGGACCGCATTAAATCAGCGAACTATTTCTCCGGTGCCCGCTTGCTCAAAATTCGCATGACCGCCTGCCTCCGGTAATTGTCTGAGCGGGTGCGAAAGCCACCTAGCCGACCTGTAGAACACGTTATTGAACATCAGTAAGTATCTCCTGCGCCGGATTCTTAGATATTGCAGGTTAAAAGAGCCTGACCTTTCGCTTGTAGGAACAAAGAAAACCAGTATTTACTGGCTTTTAGCTTGTTCTCCCTTCTAAGAACTTGAAAATAGAATGCAAGATCCAAGAAAGCACGACGGTCTGTCAGGGACTTCATATGAAACATAACATCTTGAGAAATCAAAATCACCAGCACGCAGTGATATCAGAGCAGTATCTTCATGAGGAGAGGTAACCTGCACTCATATCCATTCACCGGAGCTTATTTGATCGGATAGTTCGAAAAAAGGCCTTTGTCCACATATCCCAAGATCATTCGCGCCTTCTTTAGTTTTTTTGTTCGAAGAATCTCTTTTCACAAAGCTGCGACCGTTTTCGTCTTGTAAGCACAAAAAACAGATCCGAAACTCTTTCTGTTTGCTCCGTTTCCTTGACATCCGCTCATGAGAGGAATTCCTAAAAGGTATGTGTTTGCTTGCTGGTGGGTTGTGCCATAAAAATGCTTTTAAAAAACCTTTAAAAAATTTTGGACAGTCATAAACGCATTACATGCTGTCATATCTTATTGTCACATAAAAACTTGAAATTATGCGAACACAGTACTCTCGTTCCTGCACCCGTATTAAAGGAAAGAGAAGTTTATCGAACATTTCTCAAAAAAGCAAAAGGAAACATGTGTTTTTCAAAGTGAGCAAAGCCGGTCGTTTCAATTTGCTTGCAGAAATATTGTGGGACTGAATTACGAATATTGCACAAGTGCGCCCTTGAAAGTGAAGGGTTCTAAGATCAACGTTGTTATTCTTGGGCTCGAGAAATTCTTTGCTGATTCTGCGGTAATAAATCAGTACAAATGATATTGCTTGAGGTTTGTTGCTTGTATTGATTTTATGACGCTCAATAAACATTTCTGAAAACGTTAATAATCAATAATAAGAATAATAATCCGAAGCTGAATTTGAAAAACCAGAGAAATCTACAACCCACTGCTAGACCGATTGCGACGTTTAATCAAAAATGATTTTTACAGCTCACTGCTGAGAGCGCATTTTCAAAAAAAAACAGGAATTTTTCGCCACTTATCATGGTCACGGCTAATTCACCCCTACACTTTGACTGTCGCATAACAAATATCTGCAGCGTTGAACTATGCTTATCGACCTCGATTTGTAAGGTGTTGAATATTTCAGTTGAGTTTCGGTGACGTTGAAAAGAAAGAATGCTTTTGAGAAAGTGGTCAATCATAGCCAGCTAGAAAAGACGGAATTTTATGGTACCACATACATATTCTGCTTACATTCAACACAAAATCCGTAGTTTGGTGCACTACCCTCAAGAAGAAGAGTGCTGCGTATTTGAAAGAGCGAGAAAATTTGGATAATAGTGAATATGATACTGTAGCCCCTTTCAAATATCTGCCGTTTACCAATCCACACGCTGAAATTCTTACAAAATTGAAAATACCTCATGCTAACTGAATGTTACATATTGCTATTCTTGCTGGTAACATCACTGTCAGATAAGGAAACCTGACGACTGTTTGATACAATCTGTCAAACTGAAAGTTCTGGACGCATGCTTTTATAGAGATTTTTTGACACTTGTGACTATCCTATGTTACTGACACCAGTAACGTCTGTGAAAAATACTTAGCGTACCGGAAAAGTTAATTAAGCGAAGTGGATTAATCAAGCGTAGTAAGCACGTTACGTTGCCACAGTCCGGAAAGTGGTACTTTATCGTTATTTAAACCCAATGTTCACTTAGTTGCTGTGAGCTGTGTACATTATATTTCGATGAAATCCTTTCAGTTTTGCAGGGCTTTCTATATGCCACACGTCAAGAGTAAAAGATTGAATTTGGATCTTTTCAATCCGTTTACAAAGGGCATTTTTGGTAAATAGCGAATGTAATCACGAATTTAACAGTTCCAGGGCGATTCGACGCAGGATTATTGTCAAAACATCTTTATTACTCTTCGCAATGTCTCAAAAACATTTGTTTTGTGCAAAATCCTTGATCACTTCCAACATTTGAGTAACCGAACTTGATCAAGTATTCGACTATTCGAATTAACGGGTAACTGGATATTATCAAATAACTGGTTATCAAATAATCGAATGCAATACGAATTACTCGAATAAAGAACTTTTTCATATATTCGACTATTCGAATAATCGATTAATTGGACTTTCTCGAATATTCGACTTGTTCGAATATTTGAATAGCCGAATATTTCGAATGAATTAATCAAATACGAGTATTTGGTTCCAACCATACTGCGTACCACACTAATTCAGTAGCCACGAGATTTTGACCTAACATAAAATTTTGGAGCAGCTTTGACATGAGGCCCCTTCATGGTGCACATGCTGAGAACCAAATGATCAAAACCGGACGATATTTACTGCAAAAAAATCCCTCACTCAAAAGCAGTTAAAAGTTATTCAGTTTACTCAGACCCAGTCGATGTATTGACTGTTACCCTGCACCCGCATTTATCTTTAGATCTGGGATGTCCTACAATGATCTGAAAAGATATGTTAGCCATCATGACAAAAGATATCCAAACTTACCAGCTTACATACATAGTTTATATCAACACGATTCATGCCAGGTTACTTTTGGATTCTCTTACCTCTCTAAACTGCTGTGGATTGCCGACAAAGACTCTGGGGTTGGCGACAGTAGTGTTAAATACCGATACGTAATCTCTAGGACTCAAGAAATTGAAAGAAGACAAATCATTTACATAGCAGTGGAGGAACGAAGTATTCCGTCAGAAAGGGGGGGGGGAAGGCGGGAACGACAAATTTTTTTTTCAAATGAAGGTGCGTGTCGTTAGCCACGCACTCCGAAAAAATGTTTAGAGTGCTTTTCAAAATTTTATGGGCCCATTACCCTTAAAATCTGTTCACCGACGGTCATTTCGCCGTCATAAACCTAAAGAGAAGTGTTTGCCACGATGATAAAACGAATGTTGAGAATGTTTCATCGCTGACCGTGAAATTTGCACGGGCAGCTGTTTTTTTGAATAGACCACAAAAATATTCATTAAATCTTTTTGGATGTCATCAGAAAGATGTATATCGAGATGTAGTTTTGAAATATCCTAAACCACCAAGCAAGCAGGTGCACGATTAGTGGATTATTACAGAGAAGTCGGACCACATGCTCGACCGGACTTAGTGTGCTTTTGCAAAAATCAAGATAATATTTTTAGGTTTTGTAGAATAAGTCACTGAGAAGATAGAGAGCAGCATAAAAGACAAAAATAATTCCCAGGATAAGAACAGGTCACCGGTCTAACAAGCTTGCATTTAAGAAAAAATGCTACTTTGGTGCAATTTATTGTCTAGCTGGCTACATGATACATGGTTTCTAAAATTTCTGTTCATTATTTGTTTAAACTTTAGACATTAGACTTTCTCACTTTCTTTAGTACCATATTAAAATTCTTATCGTAATGAGATTAAAAAGTTTAATCAAAAAACTTGAAAAACATAACTCATCATAGAACGACCGATCGGTACAAATTTCTTTTAGTGAGGAGGAAAGGTTATAAAACCAAAAACAAAAATAAAACCAAGCTTTCTTGTGTCCTTTCGGTATTTAGCTATGAAATGGAAAAAAAATACGATTGACCTGTTTCTCTTCAAATTTTCATGTTTGTTTATATCACCGAGATTTGCTAAAGTTGACTGCACGGAATCGCCCGGAATGAGCACCCGCGTGCGTGTCTCTTGCGGGCTAACATGGGCATACGCCCACATTAGTCTTCATAGCGCCCGTACTCGGCAGCCACGTTGCAGGCACGCTCGCGTGCGTTCAGCCTACAACAACCCGGGCGGTTTCGTGCAGGCGACTTTAACACCAAATTTGCATTGGCCATTGCTAGAGAGCTGATGGCATACTCTCTCCACAAGATTTTGAACCAAAATAAGTTATTCAAAATGCAGGATTTTTCAAAAATGTAAAACGAAATTTATGAGAAAATCAAATACTTACCTGATTACTGTACTCATTGAACCGGTATGCATTCGTTTTTGTAGATCCTCTTAGGTACTCGCGGGGGACAGGCGGCCATGCGAATTTTGAGCAAGCGGGCACCGGAAAAATAGTTCGCTAATTTCTTGCGGCCAGCTTGCAGAAATTTGGAAAAATGTTGACCAATTTTCAGATGAACGCTTGGAGGACTATCGCGGTTTTCCTATAGATTAGTTGCGGCGCATTGGCCGCATTCTCGCGGACTTTCCGCGAGAATATGTAAAATTATTGACGGCCGCGCGGTCCTTTGTGGAGGACCGCGTAGCCCTCAGGTACTTTCCGCTAAGAGAAAGTACCTCAAACTTGAGAAATTAAACCATCGATAGCACCTCTGCAGCATAGAGTCTCACATTTGCTCGACGTACGCCCGAAACTGCTTAAAAAGAGTCTGAGCGCCTGCTGAAAGTTTGGCCAGCGCTCGCTGAAAGAGATTGTTTGACGAGCGCCCGCAGAATACTCTGTATTCTGCCCCGCTAGCAGGACATTCGACAGTAAAGGGGGTACCGCCCGCTGAAGGTTTGGCCACGCCCTGTTGACTGCCTGCAAAAAAACGCGAGTTTGCGGACCGCCTGCTCCCGCGATTACCTGAGCTGGTGTTCGATCACCCCTCATCTCGATCCTCAACGTTACATCATTGTCTTCAGTTTGAGTTGATGCAGCAGATTGAGTCCTAGCCAGAAGTATGAACTCTATAATAAAATCTGTTGTTACACTAAATGAACCATATAGGATTTCACAGTATTCATTTCTTCCGTATTGAAACCACTTTTGTACTCGCTCCAGGTTCTGTTCCAGTATGTCCGATTGACTCTACTGCAAACTATCGCATTGATATCAATTTGAAAAATGTTTCCTATGTTATCAATATGTTTTCACTCATTCTATAGATTTTATAAAGCGAAATAACAAGAGATTTAATTACTTTTGAAAAACTATCCAACCACCTCCATTGTCCATATCACAATAGCCATTGTACGATTGTCCATTCAGCAATATTCTGTACATTCCACTACTAAATCAGTGATTTCTTGAGAGCAGCTTAGTTGAGAAAAAAGGTGGTCCCTTACTCTTTGTAACCCGCTTTGTACCAATCTGCACAATCGCTCATTGCTTGAGGAGTCTCACATACGAAGCATTCGGTCAGGCCACAGTCAACTTCCACTCTCCTAATTTTTTTTCCATGAAAAAAGATATAAGAAGAAGTTTTGTATACCTGTCTGTGTGTTCACAGAAATGCACAAATTTGAATTAGGTTGACCTGTAAGAAAGGGTATGATTGGGAGAGTTAAAATGGGCGTGACACTTGGTACCAAAGCATAATCGCCATTGTATCAGGTTGGCTGATGAGTGATTTTCTTCGGTGGTCGTATAAATGTTGCAGAGAAATTTTTGACTATAGTTGGCATTTTTGAATATTTCCATGAGAAAAGAAGGTATTTTTTCTCCAACATAGGGTGCAGAAAAGTAAGAATTCTGATTTCTCTTTGACGCGTATTTGTGAGAAAAGTTCTTATTTTCATTTACAGAAATTCAAACAATAGATTACAATCTTTATTATGGTTTGGTGAGTAAAAAATTTTGAACAGGTATTTTTCCGTTATCCGGACCCATTTTTTCAAAAGGCTCTTATAAATTACGTTCTGTAGTCCAAGTATAAATTTTCATAGATCCTACGAGGACTGCGTCCCAGCCACGTGTCAGAAAAAATTGACACGTCTAATCCACTTTGACATGTTTTTCGAAATCATTTCCGCTAAGGTAAAATAGCATCTGTAACCACTTAAAAGCTGTTCAGCAGCTGATTTATATAAGAGCAAAACAATCTATTAGGTTGTTACATAAGTCTTGTTACACTTAATAACTTTTAACGGCGATAAGTCAAGCACCTCATGTTCTTTACAGAGCTCCAGGATACTATTCTGTAGAGCAAAGCAAGCTCTACAAGATGATATGCAGGTTCGCACCAACTTTGACCCGCTGTAACTTTGCATCCAAAAACTGAGTCGCAGTGAATGCCCAAAAATTGCGAAAAATTCTTATCTTTGTTCAGAAAAATCCTACGAATTTCCAACTTGCTCATAAAAAATTGCCACTTTATCAAACACACAAATGTACCGTTGCTGTATTTTTTCTTCACCTGGACATTGAGAAATGAAGATTTTTTTAGTTTTTACAAAAACGAAGCTATGCTGTTTCTATTCATGTGACTGTATACTACAAGCTCTATGAAGTATAATTGTAAATTTTCAGCTCTCCACCCTAGTTTTCGCAACTTACCTAATTTAGCATCGAACACCCAAGTGAGAGAAACTGAATTTGGTATTTTTCGAAAACTAGGGCTTCTGGAAAGCTGAAAATTTAGTTATTCTTAGAGCTTGTAGTATACAGCTATATGACGATTTCTAGATGAGGGAAAATTACCGGAACGGTACATATGAGTGCTTGATATAGTCGGCAATCTACGTAAACGAGTTAGAGATGCGAAGGATTTTTCTGAACAAGGATATGAATTTTTCGCAATTTTTTGAGCTTCAGTGCGACTCGTATTCCGGATGTAAATACGGTGGGTCGGAGCTGGTGCAAAATTCTGCACACTATCTTGTAGAGTTTGCTTTGCTTTATCGAAAGGTGCCCCGGAGCCCTATTAAAATTACGAAGTTCACGACTTATTGTCGTAAGAAATTAAAGTGTAACAAAACTTATGTAACAACCTAATAGAACCATTACTAGAATATCTTGATTGCTTCTAGCAATCAAGAATGTATTTCACTTCAAACCTTCCGCCATGCGAGTTTAGTCAGGAAAGTCTACAAATGATGGCTTGAAGTAGTATCTGGCTACTGCTTTTCGCCGCTTAGATGACGGAATCCTAGCGCACCTCTATTTTAAGCATGTCTAGTACATTCATTGATAAGAGAGCGACGTTATTATTATAACATTGTCATTTTTGAAATTGTTTAATCGAAAATAAGGTCATTATTGACCAAAAAAGTTGAACTTATGTCGCTAGGTAGAGCAACACAAACCCTTGGTAAAACTTGTTAAACATGCAGATGGCATGTCAAATTTTTTTGACAGGTGGCAGAAGGTCGACACTCTTTCCTTTGAAGTTGGGACCAAATATGGTGCAAGGAAAGAAGCAGTATCCTTCTTTGAAAAAATGGGTCCGGATAACGGAAAAGTACCTTTGAACATACCGATTACTGCTCTCTTTATTTCCACCACTGCATAAAAACTAGGCCTAGAAAGTAAAAGTTGAGTTTTGGCTGGCTATTTTGAGACGTAATTATCCTTTACTACTGTTCAAGGTTCTCTGTTTAGGTGATAATGACAGTGGAAGCTTAGAACTGTGTCGCGGATTGGGGTCCCCCGCTCCAGACGTCAGTGGTAACGTGCTCTCCTGCATCGGTGACAGGAGCGGAGGACTCCATTCGTGAGATAGAGTAACGACACTTGGGGGAACGGTAGCTACTTGCGCCACGTTATTATGGCCTGCCACGAGCACAACGCACTACGAGTTAGAGGCCCTAGGCTACCAACCACAGCCTTCTCAAGCTGCTCACACACGGACAATTGTGGATCACTTGCAACTTAGGCACTGCCTCGGATCGTGCCTGTCTTTCTGACTGATGGAACCTTCGAGACAAGTATACAAGGAACACAAACAGCATACAGATATAATGTGCCAAGGTCTGAGCCTTTGGCTACCACAAAAGTCAAAACACCACAGTTCTATGTGCCCACCATTTATCCCCAATTGAACCAAACACACAAGCAACTCAGTACAATGGGCAGAGCACACAACGGCCAAGATCTCACCTAGGAGTCGGTAAAAAGGAAACCCCCCGCGAAGTGGCTCCTCAGCCCTGCGGCAAGAAAGAAGCACACAGCCGGGTTACCTCGGTGCAGTTGCCAGTCCTCCAAGCGTGCAGGTGTTGAATATCGCTGGATCGGAAGAGTGCGCTGCTTGATCGATCGATAGACAGTTGAGGTAGTCGACCGCTCGCTGCTGGACAAGTGTGGGAGAGTGCGTGACTTATGCGAAGTTAAACGTGGGAACGAGAGGCGGGGCAGCGCGAGGACTGGCGTTTTAGAACCCATCGCTTTGCGGTGGCAAACTCCCTATAAGGAAGTCGCGCAATCCGCGACACTCCGGGCGACAGAAAAAGGTTCCGAGGTAGGCTTCAGTCTACCACCTTACCTACGACTACGAGTTAAACGTACACACATAACTACGAGTAAAAGTAACCCTAGTACGCGCGCTGGCTTACCGCGTGTCAGTGACAGCTGGTTGTCTCACGGGATGGCATGAGGAGTCGTCGGGGGCTCTACGTCGGGACCAGGACCCGGCAGGAGATGGCATTTCAGAATTTTGAAAACGATATCCCCTTTGAAGCCAAAATTTCTTACGTCTTCCCCTTTGACCCTATTTTTGACCCCCGTAAGTCCTTGACAAACAGATATACACAAACAATAAGATGGGCGGCCTCAGCGCTTATTATAGTAGTACTACCTGGCTTTCCTGGTCCAGCCCGGGTCATCAAGGTTTCAGCTCAATGGGTTCATCCGCAAAGGAATCTATAAAAAAACGTAGGGTCAAGATTTGCACAAACTTTGACGTTTATATATCTAAGATACTACTCATTTATTAGTCAGCTGCGAAACTTTACAATTTACAATAACCGATTGCGATTGGAGCGCGCTTTCCGAGGCCAATCATAACGCTGTGGACCCTATTTGGGGCTGTACCGAAGCGGTGCCTTGGTGGTTTTGGAAGCGGATTTGAACATACAGTGATACTCTCGACCTAGTCCACATTTATGTAAAGAAATCCGGAAAATTATGTGAAGGGAAGCAGGGAGCCCCCTGGTGACTCCCGGGTGGCGCGGGAGCCACCTAATTTCGAAAAACACTTACCATTTTTTAAATTCATGTAAGTTTCTCATAATTCTTCATACTTTTTTGTGCTCATGGTCCTCCAACTACACAGCAAATTTGGTGCCATATCGTTGCTTGTGCATTGAAAACGAGCCTATTTTGTTATTTTCCTCTTACAAGAATTGCGGTTTGAATTCCCGCCTGCGGGCAGGCTAGCGATCGGAGCACAGAATCTTCACATTGCTGGAATCTAAGTTCATAGGGCAGTAGCATCAACAAGGAATGATGAATAAAGAATGATATGTGCATTGTTTATCGGTAAACAAAGGGGAAGTCAAATACGACTTCCCCTTTGCTTTTTCGGGCCAAAAACGATATCCAGCTTGTGAAAGCGCCACCCCCGCCGGGCCCTGGTCGGGACTTCTGGTGGGTCTTTCGGCAGTTGTGGAGCGACACTTGTGTTGACGGCGACTGGAATCGGCGACATTGACGAGAGTTGTGGTATCGGCATCTGACCATTCGACCATGACTTGACGTTGACGTGGATCTTCTTGATGCGTGACGTACAGCGGCTCCACATAGACTGAACGGCAGGTGACGACGATTCAAGAGTTTTAATTTAGCTTATGGGCGCGGTTTTTCACGCCAAGGGGAAAGAATTTAGGCAGTGAGGGGGAGATTTTCCTCACGACGCAAAAGAACCCCGGGCCAAGTTAAACTCAAAAGAAGGGAAATCCCAAAAGGGCAAAAAACAATCAACACGGTCTCCCACCGTGGCCCCAAAAACCGACAGTTGTGGATGCAGCGCAAAATGTGGACACTGCAGCTAGCCTAAATTAAGGTTAGCAATAAAAAAGGGTGGCGAACTTAAGGTTCGCCGAGAAACAAAACTGAGAACAAAACAATAAAACAAAGATAGAAACTAAAAAACCGTAAATTGTGGGCAAGTCCTTGACAAGTTCATTGTGGCAAACAACCAAAACCCATGGCACTTCCCATAAGTGCCCCACCAGTCAACCTGAAGCAAAGTTGACGACAAAATAAAAGAGTGAGCTTAAGGCTCACTAAAAAAATCGCAAGTTGTGGAAAGAAAGTAACATAGGGTAGAAACTAACAACAAAAAACAAACTTACCTGCGGGGCTCTCTGGGCGCCCTGTCCCCTCTATGCCGTAGTTCCGCCAAGGCCTTATACTGCTCTAAGCGCAGGCGATAGTCCTCTGGATCGATGTCGTTGATCCCATGGCGGTTGTTGAAGCAGAAGGATGTCTCGTGGTGCTTGAACCTATATCCTCTGCATCTCCTCCCACGAAAGGGACATTCTTCCTCAGCGTGTCGGTCGCAACAAAGAAAACACCCTCCGCGCCTCGCATTGATCTCCATCTTCTGCGATAGATGTCGATACACCGGGCAACCCGACGAGAAGTGACGTTGTCTGCAGAAGTAGCAGCGGACGTGTGTCTCTTCCAGTTGCTGATCTCTACGCTGGTCCTCAGGCTCACGATAGCCCACTTCGACCGGGACCACTTCCATAGGCTCCTCACGTTGCTCCTGACGCTCCCGTGGAATGGGCTGTAGGGCCCCATCTTGGGGGGCGGCGGGCTGTCGGGGAGGAGGAGAAGGTGCTGACGACGCTGCCGAAAACTCACGATTGGCGAAACTTCTTGGTTCCGGATCGAAGTGTGCTGTGGATGCTGATGGCAGTTGAGCTGTCTGATCGAGTGACTGTTGAAAACTCGACTGCTGTGGATTCGACGTCGTCGATTGAGGCTCAGCCTGAGGCGGTTTTACCTTGGCCTCCGACGGCGGTGGCGCAGTTGCAATAGCTTGCTGAACCACTTTCTGTGCTGTCGCACTGGGGACTACCGATGTACTCTGGCCAACGTTCCTGGTCATTAGATGTTCCTTCAGGACGTCGTGGTAGGTGTCATGGGCCTTCACCATCTGGGCTACGGCTGCGGCTGCGGCATGATTGTTGGATACGATCTCCTCCAACGTTACGCCGTAAGTGGCCAACAAGTTCAGCTTACGCTGGAGTTCATCAACCGGCGTAAACAGAATCGCTGTAAGCTGTGTTATTATCGCCTGGCGTCTGTAATTGATGTTATGAATATAATGAAAAAGATCAGCCATGCGATCCAACAAAGCGTCAGGATTCGGCTGCGGCCTGTGAGCTAACTCCTGTAAGTAACTTGTGGCTTGCGTAGTAAGTTCCACGAGTCCATTCATATGTCCTGAGATCAGTAGCGCAGGCAGATGCTCAGCTTTCGCGCCTTGTAGATCCTCCGCCTTCGTTGGATATATCTCCTTGGTGAATATACTTCGGATCTGTCCAAAGGGGTCGTCATGGAGGAAGGCGTCGATGGCGACTAAGTCGCTGTGGCCCAGTTGCGTGGGACTAAACACGCGTGCTGGGGAGAGAGCTACTGTCAGCTGGTGAAGTAGCTGCAGTGCTGGTCCATACGTCCTCGGTACCGCAAAGGCTTGGGTGTCGTTGTCCTCGTCACAGCTGAATCGTCTGTTGACGTTGCGTCCCTTCGCGATTGCTAAAATCAGCTCGAGCACTGTGGGTGCACGAGTGTGGGGATCGTTGATGTTCGACAACGGATCCTGCGAAGGGTCAGCTGGAGGCAGTACCTCTGGGGGACGTGACGGCTCTTGAGCTCGCACAACGGCAAGCTCGCGAATCACTTCGGCCAGAAGTGAAGGGTCGACCGAGCTTTCGCTCGGCTTATCCTTCTCACCCGGCTATCTACGTGGCGATTTCGATGGCGACCGCGATCTCGAACGAGATTGTTCCTGCCCGCAATGTTGTAGCGAACTTTCCGACTTCCTCACCGGCTCGCTTCGCCTAGTCTTAGTTCTCCAGATAGTCATCGCTGTAGATGGTCAGTCTACTCGTTATCGCTTTACTCTGAAAGAAGAAGAGAATGATAGGAGTAAGAGAGCACATCGCACATAGGCACAACAAACTCACTTAATGTTAGTAAAGAGGATGACAAATAGAGGGGATGAGAAAGAAAGAAGGAATAGAAGCACAAGTGACAATAAGAAGAAGAAAGAAAACATAAAGTGGGGATGAGCTAATTTGTGTTACTAGCATGCGGTTATTAAATTATGACATGTGAGGTCAAGTTAAACAAGTGTGAACACAAGATTCGAATAAGAATCACAAGAGTCAAATGTGGATTCGCAATAATCAATATTGACGAAACAAGAAATCTACATGTGTAGACGGAATGGACACATGTGAAGATGTTAGTTCCACAATGCACCGTTACACAATTAACAGAAAGACAAAGGAAAGAATGATAGAATGAAATGAGAGTAAATGAGAGAAAGATTAGAAGGGAATATTCAAAAAGTATGAGCCACGCATGTTTCTGTGCTGAAAGGAAGAGGAAGACGAAAAATCAGGATAAACGAGATATAGAGGATAGATGTGGCTCACAAAAGAGTGACGAGAAGACAAAAACAAGAAAGAAACAGATAAATGTAGAACACATAGCGCGAAAACGAGAAAAAACCATCTGGAGCCGCAATTGCATAATGCAAATCATTGCACACGCTGGCTATCTTCCATTCGTGGCGGGACCAGTACCTCTATGAGGCATATTGTGGAGCGCGATAAAGACCGCGCTTGCAACCGCAACGCATGTGGCTAAAGCATGGTAAAGATACATGCTGCACACAAACGTCGCTTGTGGATTGAAGCGCGTCAATGATGACGTGCAAATGGGGATAGAGACTTGGCCTTCAGAGGAGGCTGTATCCTCGTAGGCGATGTGGAAGGCTTACGTCTATGAGACGTTATTTTGTGCTTAACTATCGGTATGTAATAACGAATGCGCGGGTTTCCAAAGGATATGGGCTAGATAGAGGCCTCCTGAGGGTGTTTCCATTTGGCACTCGTACCTTTGTTACTCTCACGCTATCATGATTACCTCCACATAGTCAAATCACAATTCCCATCTTCCATTGTCCTCTGGGCACACTGTCCTTCGCAATTATCACGAGATCGTTCTTTGGATGTTCAGTCGTATATTGCGGCTGGCGTAGACGGCATTGATGGCGTTGGATAAGGGCAGAGAGGTAATCAGTACATCACACTTCCCAGAAAGAATCTAGGAGAACTTGGGTTTCCCTATACCACTCTGCTAAAGTGCGGTTCATAATTATACGAACACCCAAAATTTTGTAAGTTTTTGGACTTATTGGGAGAAACTCAAAAAGCCGTTGGTACCACGCGAAAGAGCACAGCCGAAAACGGTATATGATCCATAAGAATGGAAATTGATGTCAATCTTAGGAGTGTTTTTGCGCCTTATGCAAAGTTTTAGCGGTTCATAATTATACGAACACCTCAAGCAAAGGTCCATTTTTCATTCAAGTTTGCAGTCATTTGAGTCCAAATTTTTTGTAGAATTACAGTAACAAAGTCTGACATATCTGCTACACACTGAACCCAGTGCAGTTCAAAAAGAGAACCGTTACTTTTTTTAGAGGGCTCTAAATGCTTTTGGAGTGATTGGGCTTCAAAAACATCCGTTCTTCTGTGGTTTACGCACTCTGATTAGCTTCTACCAAAGCTATGAGATGAAATAAGCTTTTTTGATAGGTATTTTGTTTGACGCTTGGAAAATCTTTGCGTTTTCGTGTCATTTTTCAACCAAGTTCCAACCTTACCACAGAATTAGCACGATTTCGAGCCTCAAAATTCAGCTTTTCTCTCGCGCAAACATTTGATATGAAGCAGCTGCATTCTTTGCATGATGACGTGTCCGTGCCAACGTTTTTGCGTTTTTTGTAGAACTGATCTTGAGGCTATGGAGCTAAAAACCAAATAAAGGTATGATTGCAATAGTAAAAACAGTGTTTTTGGTGAAATGACGTCTGCGTCGCCAAAACAAACGCTCAGCGCTGCTGATTTTTTCTAACCAAATATGCAGTCTTGTGAACTTCCACATACTATGTGCTTACTTCATTGTACGGCTTCAGAAGCTGAGTTTTGAGGCTTAAAATCGTGCTAACTCTGAGGTAAAGTTGGAACTTGGTTGAAAAACGGCACGAAAACGCAAAGATTTTCCAAGCGTCAAACAAAATACCTATCGAAAAAGCTTATTTTATCTCATAGCTTTGGTAGAAGCTAATCAGAGTGCGTAGACCACAGAAGAACGGATGTTTTTGAAGCCCAATCACTCCAAAAGCATTTAGAGCCCTCTAAAAAAGGTAACGGTCCCCTTTTTGAACTGCACTGGGTTCAGTTTGTAGCAGATATGTCAGACTTTGTTACTGTAGCTCTACAAAAAATTTGGACTCAAATAATTGCAATCTTGAATGAAAAATGGACCTCTGTTTGAGGTGTTCGTATAATTATGAACCGCTAAAAATTTGCATTAAACGCAAAACACTTTTAAGATTGACATCCATTTCCATTCTTACGGATCATATACCGCTTTCGGCTGTGCTCTTTCGCGTGGTACCGACGGCTTTTTGAGTTTCTGTCAAAAAGTCCAGGAACTTCCAAAATTTGGGGTGTTCGTATAATTATGAACCGCACTTTAGTCTATGTCCATCGACAGCAATGCCGTAATCGTGTTCTTGCGAGGGTAGTTGTAGACTGACTTCCGGCGAAATGAAGTCGACTGGTCGCAAGATGCGGAAAGAAACGTCCTTTTCTCTATAAGGTGTTATAGGGCGAGAGTTAATGACGGCTTCTATCTCCACAACTATCGTTCGTAGCTGTTCCCATGTTAGTCTTGAATCTCCTACAGTCTTCTTAAACGCGGATTTAAACAGGGCAACTAGTCTCTCATATAAACCTCCTTTCCAAGGGGAGACTTGAGTAATGAACTTCCAAGTGACCCTGTGGTTAGTGACAAAGTCGTAAATATCATTCCTACAGTGAGGAGCAAATTATAAGTTGTTAATGGCATCCTCTGTTGCATGGGATGTACTTGCGTTGTCACTATGAATGACATCTGGTGTTCCTCGTCGTCCGATCAATTTCCGAAAAGCTAGTAGGAGGTCCTGAATAGAGCAAGAACTAGTGAAAAAGCGTCGGCACAATTGCGCTATCGTCCCACGTGCCTTGATGGTAAGACGTAATGTGGGCATGAAGTACAATGAAAGACGTTAGCCTGTGGGTTGCACCAGTAGTAGGGGTGCTGTGCGATAAGCCTTTTCCATACGAGCAGGACATCTTATTAGTCCGTTTCCGTCACAATGCGCGTTGAATCGCTGGAGTCGAAAACGTTCCAAGAAATGACTCGATTCACGATCGTGTTCGCGAATAACCGAGTTCTCGATTAAGGCAATGTCATGTGCCGTAATATGGCCGGCGAGCGAAGTTGAGATAAGTTTGGAATTGCCTTGTGGAGAGGTTGTTTACTCGCGAATGTGGGACACTCAACAATCCTACGTCGCAAAAATCGAAGGATGTAGACGATAAACCGCAGAAGCTTCATGTAACTGTTCGTGGCAAAGAATGGAATAACCGAAACATGTGAATTATCTCTAACCAGTAATACCTGTGTGAACTCCTTATCCTGTTCCGACGTTGTTACGGGCGGAATCGCAAAGTCCATATCGTTGTTAGGCCAATCTTTAGGGAAGTCGACGAATGAACGATGGTCCTGTCCACCAAACATGATCCGCAGCTTCCTTCGTCGCTAGACCACTTATAGCATGATCCGCTGGATTGTCTTCGGAAGCAACATGGTGGAACTTGACGTCGATTCCTAAATCTCGAAGCTGTTTAATGGTCTTACGAATGAAAGTTACTCGATTATGGACAAATTATCTCCATGGCCTGGTGGAATGTATTGAAGAGAGCACAATCTGGGAGTCTGAAATATGTGAATGGACGACATCTTAAGGTCCAGTTCTTTTTGCAGGTATTCGGCTAGAGATATGCAACTTCTGGTTGCCAATAATTCCATCCT